TGATAGATTTGCTACCACTTTCGTAGCCATTTGCAGTGCAGGAACATGATAAATTTTGTGTAGCCTGAAATGAACCTGAAATGACTCAATATGACTACATTTCAGTACAGCAAAGAGTTCATGTTTCAGGAGACTTTGTGGCGCATTTCAGGACATCTGAAAGAACATATGTAGATATCATTTCCGCCTCATGTTTGCAATGAAGAAAGGTCCGGGCAAGGAAAACTTTTGATGGTCCTAAAATTACCATTTACGGCAGATTTGTAGTACATTTCTAGGACGTCTCTGACTTATCTCAAGTAAAAATCTTCTAGCTCATAAAATAGCTTCAAAATCCATCAGAAATGGCAATTTCAGGACCATCAAAAGTTTTCCTTGCCCGGACCTTTCCTCATTGCAAACATGAGGTGGAAATGATATCTACATATGTTCTTTCAGATGTCCTGAAATGTGCCACAAAGTCTCCTGAAACATGAACTCTTTGCTGTACTGAAATGTAGCCATATTGAGTCATTTCAGGTTCATTTCAGGCTACACAAAATTTATCATGTTCCTGCACTGCAAATGGCTACGAAAGTGGTAGCAAATCTATCATTTTGGGACGCCAGAAAGCCCCGGTTAAGTCTTCGAAAATGAAACAGTTTTGATGGCTTGACCAGGACATTTCAGGTGATCTGAAATCAGCTCATGCCCGTAGTGCCAACAGTTCAGGCCCTGTGACCCGTGACACTTGAAACCTGGCCAGTTCAGAGACCTTTTGTGACCGTGACCTTGATTCGGTGACACAACCGCGAATAAGGTGGGTGCAGGTCGCGTTGGGCAAGGCCGCCATCGGGAGCACATGTGTGTTAGGCCAAACTCTTGGGCTTAAGAAGGGTTCTCGCACCTTTGCTCGCGCGAGGACAAAGCGGTATATCCGGATATCTATGAGTGCCGGGACTACTGCCCCGATGCGAGCATTACCCCGTGTATATTGCCAAGGAGCACGTTCTAACAGTGTACCTCCCTCTGGATATCCTCGTGCAGTGGATGACACATTGGTTTCAAGTTCCCTTGCCAAGGCCGTCCTAGATGTTGACTGGCCTGATAACACGGACCGTGCACACGAAACTGACGATGGGGACAATATTTCTTGCAATATATGTAGTTCTGGTGAGTAGTTCATGGGCTAATTGTGTGCTCCAAAGACAACATTGAGCTTGTGCGACAATCAAAATTCGAAAAGAAAAGCCGAATATATTGAAAAGCGCCCGAGTCACGCTAATTCGCAGCCGGTTCATCGGCTTATCGTGACCGTGACTATCCGTTCAACCTCGGCCTGTTCAGAGGCTCCGTGACCGTGACCTGAACTTTTGGTCATATCGCTACAGTATACTATGATGGCACCCTCGTTTATAAGTGTTCCCTGCTTTATTAATTTGCTTTTGCTACTTCAATCTGCCTCCAAAGGTGCTGGGAATATTTTTTAAGATAGCTCTGTATTCATGCTATAATATGATACTCATATCATGACAGACATAAGGTGAAAGACGGTATGGTATTTTTGTAGATGCTCAGAAGCAGTCTAAAACTGGCTGAAACATGCTACTGATGGCTAGATCCAACCAGATCTCGCTCACCAAATATTCTTGCGACTACATTTATGAACTTGTGCACTTGCACTGAGCCTGGTAGGCTAATATATTTTGTTTTAAAAGTGCTAGGTACATGCACAGAGAAGGAACAGTTGTGGAGCGTTAGAATGAACAGGCAAGGTGTGATGAAATTGTCACTCTGCCTGATCTCAGACACGGCAGGCAACGAGGGGCTCTCGACAGCAAGTCGCAACGATCCTACGCTCAGCAGTGCCACTGGAGGCTGTCAGTAATGCGCATGGGAAACCAGGGAGGACCTAGCAGGCCCCAGGTCCCCCGTATACATGTTCTCGCGTGTGCCTACGTGACTTAAGGTTGACCTTGGAGAGACGGCTCGGCTTCTCGGCAGCAGCACGACTCTACGGCATCTGGTGTGACACTAGTGTGACAAAATTAATAAACGAGGGAGCAGGTCCCATTTTGCGCACCGGAATCGATCCGCAGCTCTTGCAAGACCTCAATAAAATACCAAAAAAAATGCGAATACATAGTCAAGGTGTGCGCACATCGGTTTATGCAAAACCGCTCACGAAGAGGGGTTGTGGTAAGCTACAAGAAGCAGATTTGCTCAATTTTTATAAACCAGGGTGCCATCATAGTACTTTGTGAGCTGAAACAAGTAAGACAGACCCAGTTCAATTCCGACTACATCACGTGAGCGAGCGCTGTCACGCTGCGTCTCTTTTCGCAGGAGCAAAACTCGAGTTAATCTATAACTTTGTGTGCACGCGACAGCTCAAAAATTTACATCTGACATCTTGTAGTGAACACATTGGACTACTACTTGACCGTTGTCAATCGTTTTTAATTGAGCAGAATACAGTTTTATGGGGTGTACAAGAACCAAAGTCAGGATTAAATAAGTATCAATTAAGGTAATACGCAGCTCAAATTTGGAGCTAAGTCATCAAGCGCCTCCACAGATCTGTGTGCCGCTCTCGCATTCATGCTGTACGGCCATATTTCGCACTCGGAGAGATCGCTTTATGCATGCTTCGTCGATCTGCCTATCGTCCCGCTGCACTTTGATTCGCGCCTGCAGCCAGCCGTGTACGTCATCGCAGAGAAGGGTACGTGGCACATTCGCCACGATCGTCGCACTGACGGGCCACCGCGCAGCTGCCGACATCATCAAGGCTGCGGCCTAATCTGTGCGAGACCCCTGCTGCCCTTTGATTGTTCCCAGTCGTGTTATGCAAGGCATTGAACGGAATATATGCACACTTCAGGGTATCGTAGACACCGATGAGAAAATTGGATGGATAGCTAACGCTCGATCGTAAGAGAGACAGTTACTCTGGTCCGTCGTGGTACCTGGCAGCGCACAAACCTGAGAAACCTTTGGAAAAAAAAAAAAAAAAAATTGTGCCTCCAGCGTGGCCCATACGCAGCGCAAATTACCGGCATCAAAGTACAGTGTACGAGCGACAGTTCTACTTCCGGTATTGATATCTCGCGTGTCGGGATCTAGACCTTGTAAACCAGATAAATTCGGCTGCTTAAGGCTCGAACGTGCCCTTGATAATGTCTGCCGCTGCAAAGAAGTTAGCAATCTGAATGCCATATTCTTAGAACTACAATATACCTTGCTCAGCTATCGCATATGCAACAGCTACACGCGTCGACCCAGTATCAGCCACGCACGCTCGCAACAGACAGCCTGGCATACATACACTGTGTGTGTGCAGCAACGTGCAGTGGGACAATCGACAGGTCAACGACCCTGAGATTGTTCGTGCCATGCACCCTGAGCTCGTGGTCGACGACACCGCCCTTGTCGCGCGGTGTCATCGAGCAGGTGCCGCACGTGTGCCACGTCGTCCCGAAAGTTTTCTTCACGTACTCTGCGCGTCCCCACGTCAGCATTCCAATATGGCGGGGAAAGGGGGACAGGGAAACACACCGGTGAACTGCTCGTCGGTCTGCACAGCCGGCCCCGGCGTGATCTCCCTCGCGACCATGTCCTTCAACGGCGCATGCTGCACCAGATTGCGCGCGAACTTGGCGGTCTCCATGAGCACGTCGAGGTCTGCGACGGGACGTCATCTGAGTAAACATGCGGCAAAAGGAAAGGACACAACGCACCGGTTCCGTGCTCAAAGTAGCGCGGGTCAAACTCGGGATCGACCATCGGGTCGCTCGACGTGATGTGCTGCACCGAAACCATTCGTCAAGAAATGCGCTGGCCGCGGCAGGCGTCGCGAGAGGCAGCTACTTACGACGTGCCCCCGCGATAGCGGATGGTTCATGCAGTACAGCCACGAGAAGTACGACCGGCCCTCCTCCGCGGGCACCCCGAACGCGGTGGCGGCCGAGCCAAAGACCTCGCACCCAGGACCCGCGGGGAGCGCGCCAGGGCGGAGGCGCGCCAGCTGGATTGCGTACTGCTCGCGTAGGCCGGCCGGAGTACGTGTTACGTTTAGCGCATCGACGTGCGCGCGGGCACGCTCATAGATAATCTGCGCGCGTGCGGCGCCGGCGACTGTCTCGAGCGGGTTGAACGAGAAGCTGACGTACGCCATCGTGAACGCGCCCTGGAGGTCCTTGTAGAGTGCCTCGTGTCGCGCTCGCCCTGCGGGGTGTAGGAGCTCGTTGAAGCCGAGGAAGTTGTACTCGGGTTTGAGCTCTTGTGGCGGGTATTAGTTTGAGAGAGTATGCTGTAATGGTGGTGACGCACCCCAAGAGAAAGCGCCGAAGACGTGCTCCTGCATGTTCTCGCCCACGCCGGGAAGGTCGACCTTGACCTCGACCCCCGATTTTTCGAGCACGGACCTGCTGCCGATACCCGACAGCTCAAGAATTTGCGGAGACTTCAGCGCCCTAGCATACACCCGTGAGTTCCAGGCATCCGCCACGGCGTCAAGACACAACGCGCGACGTACCCAGCACAGATAATCGCTTCCTTCCTCACATGTACGACATAAATCTTCTCGCCATGTAGGAACTCGACGCCAGTGACGGTCAAGTTCCCGTCCATGCCCTTGTCTGAGACGACCCTCGCCACATGTGCACCGGTGAGGACGGTCAAGTTCGGACGGTCACGGTTAGGGATGTAGTACGCTGTGCCAGCGGACGAACGCGTCGAAGTTTATTGGTCAAGGGAGTTGATCATCCAGAAAAACCCGTTTGGCTGGGCGGAAGAAGCAATCAGCGCACGGTGGAAACAGAGAAGACTAGGGACGTACGTCGCCGCCGTACTTTCCACAGTGATCAGGGTTTCTCAGCAGCTGTTATGCAAGCCGAAGCAACTTACTGGGCGTGGTGCAGTCGGGATACCGGCGTTCTTGGTAGTCTAGACAAATATAATCACCTCGGGTACTCAGGTCGCATGACAGTAATATAATACTCACCTGCATAAGGAAGGTTTCGACCTCGCTAAAAGTCCTCGGGAACGAAATTGGTAGGGTACCTTCGACGCGCTATGAGCGATGCGAACAGCCTGACGGTACGTTTTACATACCTTTAGTGCCAAGGTCTCCTTCGTGCAGCGGTATATTGGCCTTCTCGCGGAGTTCAGCGGCTGGCTCGACGAAGCTGTGCAAGTATTACTATTGAGGAGGAGAACTTGCCTGCGGAAGGATGACCTACCGTTCGGCCCTTTGCACATACTTCTGGAAATTCTTCCAGTTCCAACCTGGGTTACCGAGGCGTTCCCAATCTAAGAGCGATAGTTAGATGGAGGCAGGAAGTTCAGATGGCGAGTGCGTGCACACCGTCGATCTCGTCCGCTGGAGGCTTGCTCCAATTTTTAAAGTTAATACTAGACGAGCCGCCGAGGCCGCGCCCCCTGTATTACAAAGAGGTCAATGTTTTTGTTAGAGCGTACGGAGCGTGAGTGCGAACCGAGACCATGGAAAGACCCTGTCAGAACAAAACGTCTGCTTTGCCTAGATGTGCATCGTCGATCGGCCTCAGCTAAGATGCCTCATCGCCGACTTGGAGTTACGCACCGTCGCAAAATTCCAATCATACTGCTTATTCCCGAAATGGGATCCGTATGAGGCGGGCGTCACTATATAGCTTGCATGAGTCTTAGTGCAGACTTGATGCACGGAGCGCTACGTACGAATGGCTGGGTCGTTGATGTTGGGGTCTCCCGCCTCCAAGACGCATGCTGTCTTGGATGGGTCCTCGCTCAGACGGGCAGCTAGTGCAAGGCCGGCGGTACCACCACCTGCACAATCGCTCAGAGTCAATGGGTACGATTATGGCGGAGCGAATGGAGATCGATTTACCGATGATGGCATAGTCGAAGGACTTGTCGGTGATGTCTTCGATCTTGGCAGACATAGCGGTGCTTTGGACAGGCCTGTTGTACCGAAGGAGTGATACGGAAGTCACGGATGAGGGTAATACTATATACTATGGGAGCTAAAACAAGTAGCGTCCTCATCAAGATGAAGCAGCTACCAATGCATGCATGACGTGTGTTACATACATCAACAACGATCCAAGGGAAGTGCTATGTGAGCTTAACCCCGTTCAAGTTCAACGGTACTTGGCGTTAATTGGCCAGCAGACCGTCGGCAGTTTCAAACTCCGCAATGGCGCTTACGCGTGCGTCGGCAGCGTGCTCTTGCTGGGAGCCTCAACCTGAGGGAGGGCAGTAGCGTATACGCTTGCTTCGATGCAATACATGTAACTCTGTAAGAAACAGGCCTTCGTATCGGTGATGAGGCAGCCGCTAGAGTGCCAGATTATATTGGGCCATGAGGCCTCACACTGACGGCAGATTATGCGTGACTCCTACATGTCTGCTCCAGCTTAATATTGAAGCCGCAATCCGGCAGTAAAGCCCATTCGTCAGCCTAACGTGGATGTCTAACTTTATGTAGGTCGTATTAATGTGAGCATCCCTGCACGTGCTGCTTACGTGATTTTGTCCGACCTTCACGATGGTTCGTTCGACGTCGACAAGACTGACCGCGGTACACCACAATCCAGTGTCCCTCACCCTGCGGCTCGGCAACCCGCGAGCCCATTCCAGCTCGGGAAGCAGCCGAACGTATCGAAGCCTGCGCATGGGTTCGAACGCCGCCTAGCGGAGATAGCTCCGCCCGATGTCCATCGTGAGTAGGTCATTCAGGCGCGTGCGGCTGGACGCGGACTGGGCACGGTCAAGGCTTCATGGCGCACGGCCGGGAGCACAAGAGAGTGGTGGAACAGTTTCGCATCGAAGGTAGCGTACGTGGGTTGGCCCCAGCCGAGGAGCAGCTCAGTGGTCGCGAGACCGTCGGCTAGACGGGAGAGTCTCACGAAGCGCGCCTGGTGAGAGGTCAACGGCTGTACGACGCATATATGCGCCAGTAGCACTCACGGGACTTGAGGTGCTTCAGGAATCCTGCTCCACCTCGAGGTATAGGTTGTCATTCTTTATGTAGCCCAGTCGGCAGTTGCCGCGCCGTGTGCAGGCCGAAGGTGAAGTGCGCATAGCGTTAAGCCGCAAGCGAGTGAAGCGCAGGAAGGGTGAGATGGAATGGGTATTTAATATGGTAGGCCTGTTGATTTATCCGCCGTATTCATCACGGTGCACCGCGAACCACTCGCCTAGCGGCGCGGGCTTGTGAGCACAGCTTTGATTTTCGTTTTCAACGGGCGAGATTTAACCACGATTTACTACTCCTGTAGCTGATCAGTTAATAGACGAAAACACGCGTACAAATATGGGTGAGACGCACCAACGAAGAACACTTGTCCTGGTAAAGCTCGTCCCGGCCTTGTTTAGCAGCACGCGTGCGTCATTCGGCACGCTCTTCACTTTGAGCTCTCGCAGTTTCCTCTGCTTCTTTTACGTGCCAACATTCCAAGGCCATCGCATCACGTTGATAGACCGAGCGGTCTCCTAACCGACTCCGCACGGAATGCCCAGCTTGTCGAATAATGCTCTACGTTCGTGTAGCTGCTGTCGTGCTCGGCCGGGACGCGTAATCCAACATGCAGAAGCCCTCGTGATGCGCAGAAGACAGGACCAGTGACGCCGAGCGTGAATGCGACGCGTTCCGCGAGCCCGTGCGCGGGCTCGGCTTCAGACTGAGTCTCACGCGCCGTAATGTGCGCGACAGGGACGACAGCAACGGCGCGACGGGCTCAAGCAGCGATGTACAGAGGGAAGGCTGCGGTCCAGGTCAGCAGTGTATGTATCGGTTTGGAATACAGAAACCTACGCCATTTCACGAAGACATTCGGGTACTCAAATTCGTGACGAATGCTCGCGTCAGGACCGGCGTACGAGGCGAGCACGATCTTGTCTATCCCGGCGTGGAGTCGCTGCATGACATTTTTGCGGCAGCGCGCGGAGTTCCCAGAACGTGTACGGGAGCGGGTACAAGGAGGTGCCGACACGGCAAATCTGCGCAGAGAGCTGTCAATATAGACTCCGAGACACGGCCCACAGTAAGCTTACAGGCGACCCATGTTCTCGCAAACAAGTCTCGATCGGCGGCTGCAACGTTCTAGTGTACCTTCTGCACTCGAGCTCAATCCGTTCGGGTTCCAAGCATTGACGATGCCGGGACAGCGGATGCCACAACGCGTCGACATTTGGCTCTTCGTACACATCTGTCACGATTTGAGTGGGGGCAGCCTTGGCCGAGGGCTCGACGGTAGATGGTTTGAAGCGAAACTCGAACAAAATGCCGAGCCCTTGTGGCGCACGCGATTCGCCGGCGCTTTTGGTCGACCGCGGCTCTTCTTCGCTCCTCCATGTCCACCATGAGCCCAATCGTCGCCCCGCAGCAGGCCTTCCTACACGGAATTTTACTGTGATAATGCCTCTGGGGCATATTCTGCGCGTTCCTCTCATCGTCTTTCCTGTTAAATCCGCGGGCGAATCCTCTCCCTCCGGGGCAAGGCTGAAGGACTGGGCGATGGAAAGCCTAGCTCGAGCTCAACGCGTTCCGGGAGACTTCGCGGACACCTCTTTGCCTTTCAAGCGGCTCGTGTAGTGCAGCAGGTGGCTAGACTCGCGTTTATGGAGCACCAGCCGGGAGGGATAGGTTGTTGGTCGGAAGGATGATATAGAGCCGAAGTTCAGGTGCGCACGCATGCTCTTTCTCTCACTTGACTGCCCGTCTAAGCATCTTCAAATCGGTCTGTGTATATTACCGAATCCCATAATGGCTCGCCGGTGTGCGATCTGCTCTGAACCGCCAAAGTGGACTCCTTCCCGAAGAGCGATGATGGCCCTCAGCGAAGAAGTTGAAGACTCGTATTACAGGCACCTCTCGGGAGGGCCGGTCGCGCTTGACGTCAGGATCTCAGGCTCCACTCCGTCAGCCCGTCCCGCAGACATACGAGCAACGTTGGACGGCGTATTTGAGGGGGGGGGGGGGGCAAGCCATAGCTCGGAGACGACAAGATTTTGTGATACGCCGAATGCGGCGTCGTCGATTTGGAGAGCAAGACCGCGAAGTTGTACTTGGGTAGCTGTCTTGTGCGGTTCAAGCATTGATGTACAGTGATTCAGAAGCGCGTACGTCTGGTTGGCCCTTGAGACAAGCCTTGGCTCACGCAGATCTTAGGCCTGACGAAAACGACAGCATCCTTCACGGAGGCGCAAGCAAAGGAGAGCCTCTTGCGCTTTCGTCGCTCTACTGCACTCACGACTGTATCCTGGCTTCCCTTCTCCCCCAGCCGTCAAGAAACGGGTTCGACCAGACGTGGAAGCTAGTCGAGACATATACTCCGCCACCACTTGACAGCATCTGAGCGATCGTTTCGTCGACATTCGCATGGACGTCAGCAATATTATTCTGGGGGTATCTGGGAACCCTGCCTGCGGTCAACGCAAAATGCACGAAACATTTTGTACAGCAGCCTTCAGTCGCTCGATACCGGCGTCTATATCTGTACGTCTCCCTTTGTTTGCGGGTATGGCTGCCCGGTACTCAGTCTGTTTCGCAGCACCGTGCACATCGCGAACCTAGGCGCACTGGACCCACCCGAGTAATCGAGCCGACACCTGCCCCTCGAAGTTCTCCAGCCACACAAGTTCTTTTCCCCGCATGCCTGCAGCGAGGAGGAGCGCGGCGATTGGGCAATTGGGTCCGGCAACGCGGGGTATCGCCGTTGGTGTTGACAATCACCCTTCGCGGGCGTCCTTCAACGCGGGTTTAGGCGACACGTACGGGGCCTTTGCATCGCCACAAGTTCACGTGCACCTATAACGGCCTCTGCGACACCAGCTTTCCTGCGGTGAAAACTGCGCCCTAGCCTGTGGGTGCAACAGTGACGACATCACCTCTCGCTTTCTCCAGTCGCAAGATCATGGCTTCCCTAACTCGTCGAAGACATCGTACGGGCGTTTTCGTCCACCACAGCGGTCATCGATGTTGAGCCAGTGACGAGCTGACTATAGCCCGAGCCTGGCTTTCAGCATCCCCGACGTCATTTATACCCTCTTTTGGACCACTCGACGGCCCGTCACCTGCCCTTACCGTCATATCAGGGTCCTGTCGCGCCAGCGGGATTCCTCAGCGTTCTGACCAGCTTGTTGGAGACGTGGGTTGTTATGGAAGTTACCGGGGTGAGTATATTCATCTCACGATCGGCCCAAGGGTGCCGCTTTCCCTGCCAAACACTTGATCCCCAGTAACAAGCGGACATACTCTACGAGCGTGAGTAATCATTTCCTGCCGGCGTTTTGTTTTGGGTCTAAACGGCTCTCAGGCTGTCTCTCTTCCTCCCAAGGATTGCAATGATCGCCCCATCTGCAATGTTGCAGCTGGTGCTCATATCAACTATGCGCTAATGGAAAATACTCGTAGTAGCTCGTGAAACGCTACCAGCGCTGAGCTCTTCCACAAGGCAAGCCACAAAGTCACAGATTGTGAATGCGACAAAGGAGATGATCCTCAGCGCAGGTTTTCTTTTTCGCAACCTGCTTGCTTGAAATTTTACGGACGTTCTTTCCCAGACACTGCAGCTGTTCGAGCTTTCAGGCTTCGGCAGGAAGGATATGCTCGAGAAGATCGACGTTCCATTGAAGGTTGAGCTCCTTGGAGCGAACATCCACGATCACATTTCGTTGGTGTAAGCTAGGGTATGTCGCTATTGGCGCATGAGCGAAGTCCCCCTTCGCTGATACTCTTTTGTAGAACCCAAGGACGACGCACTATCTGACACCTCGATCTTCTCCGCGATCCTGCTATTGCTTACAAGCGTCTCGAGCTCCGGTAAGCTTTCGCCCAGTTGCATACACGGACATGCTGAAGCTGATTTTTCCGTGTAGTGAATCTGGACCGGGCTTGTATGATCGGTATCGTCGGCTTCCCATGGAACAACTCTAACATGTTCGCACCGCAGAGCACGCAGGCCGAGATCTACAGCGAGACGAACGACATTGTCGCAAAGATAGGCGACCAGGCGCGTCGTGAATTGTAGAAGCAATTTGAGGGGTTTTTATGGAGCAGCTCGAGCCTGGCAAGGCTGGCAATCCCGAGTGCAAGCTCATCAGCTTCCCAGCTTCTTGGGTGGCCCAAGTAAGTTGTCCCAAAGTTAGCCCGAGCGATACTGAGTGCATTCCGAAGACGCGCCTGGGAAGTGGTATACCACGACCCTGGTCGCTATGAACCACAGCTTCTTGCGCGGAACTGTTGTAAGCACAAGTTCCACGTGTAAGACGAGACGTCGTATGCTAATTATGTACTCCAGCGCTCGACGTCCTCTGACCCTCTCCAGGATCCAGAGGGTGGACGCACGCTACTTCGAACGAAGCTTCGATGTGTAGCATATTCTTGGGTTATGTTGGTTGCTCTAACAACGACTGTGTCGCAGTCCTTGGCATTCACATCGAGGTGGCGAGGTTCGTGCGCAAGGTGGCGAACACTTTGCCGATGAAGGAGATGGCTGTCAAGGAGGTCGACCCTAACTTGAGGTTCAGACTGACGAGCAATGAGGTATGTTCTGTTGAAAATGCAGGCCGCCATCATGGGCTACATCGTCGAAAGGAGGCAAACGCGCGAGCGTTCGCAGTCTATTCGGCGGGTATTTATCTACACTACGAATGTCTCAGGTACGAACATGGGCGCAATCTAAGATAAATACAAGTAAACAACGTGCGCACGAGGCGCCAGCGAACACGAGCTCGAAACGTGATCCAAAAGTCTAACATGTTCATCTGTTTGTGCGCGAAAGATGAAGGTGGTGCTGACGAGATAGTTGTAGATTAGGTGAAGAAGACGTCCAGGAATACTTGGCGTGCGTCCTACAAGCCTACATTTGTTTTGACACGGGGCTGACTTCGAGAACGATATCATTGATACCGACCTCCGTGTCGCCGACCCATCTGCCATCCAGCTGCACCTCGCTTCGCACCCGCCGTCGGCTCTGTATGCCATTTCAAAGAAGGGTACGTGACGCATCTATTACACTGGCTGCACAGATACTGATGGGCCACCGCGCAGCTGCCGACATTATCAAGGCTGCGGTCTAATTTGCGCAAGATTATCGCTGCATCTCAATAGTTCCCAGTCGTGCTGTTTAAGGCAGTGGAGCGGACGCATATACAGCTCTGGTCAAGCATGTACTGTAGATGTAGACGAGCAGAAATTGATTTGTGTACAGTGCCTCGGCACAGCATTGGCCCCATGAGCGCCTGGGACGTTCGTGAGTCTCGGTTCGTCCTTGCATGGTCTCTCGCCGTATCCCATTGGTGCGTTCTTGTCCTCGAGCGCTGTGCTATCTCACTCGACGGACGTTCTGACCGCAACCTTTGGCGAGGTGGCGCTTGCCAGTGTGGCGGCCATGAATACGAACTTGAGGGCTTGAAGAGCGAAATCGCAGCAGCTTGGCTTGGGGCCTGCAAGACAGATATCGGCTGTCAACCACATGTCATCTATGCGGGTAATGCAGTGGCACAGGCTTTGCACTGGGTAACTGTCAGCTGTTATTTTGTCCAGCCCATGTATTCATATTATCCGGGGATTATGGAATGCTGTGTCCTAGCATGAATCCACGACACGAGACAAATCAAGATGTCTTTTCGGCTAAAAGAGGCGTGAAAAGAGCTTAACAATATTTTCCAAGAATAGCCCGACCCTTTCGGTGGAAAAGATGCGAGAAACTATCAGCGGAAATAGTACCAAAAGAAGGAGCACTATTTTGGAAATGTTTCCAAGTGAAAAGGCCATATATATGTGATGCAAAGAGTAATGAAAATATCTACACTGCTCACAGATGAACCTAGGGCATTCACGGGGCTAATTTTATACTATTTTGCACGGATAGAGGTACAAAAACGCATTCAGTTTGTTTCATAAATACACCTAAGCTACTTCCCCATGGGGGTGTTATTGTTTTAATGGTACAAAAAGATACACTGCTTTTACACCTTTTGAGGGATTAGAAGAGTCGAAATATCCTCGGGGTGAAATCATCATGGTTTCTTTCTTCATATTTATCCCAAAAAAGTTCCCTCCAGGTGAGACAAAAAGAACAGACTTATTTTGTGGTTCCTGTCTTTGCAAAATATGAGGTAGAAAAGCCGGACTTTTATCAGGGAAACTGGTATGGAAAAAACTGATATTTCTTTTCAGACATAAGATTGATCGCCCACTCAAGGCCTATTATCCCCCTCTCGTCGTCCGCTGTGCGCCCACTCATCGCCCTGCGCACTGATAGCCACTTGCTAGGAAATCGCCCACACATTGCCAACACATTGCCCACTCGTCGCCGAAACAGTGGTGGTCACTTACTAGTAAATCGCCGCTTACTAACAACGCATGACCACTTAAGCAAAACCTTTTCTCCGCCGCGCGGCACCACCCGCTGCTCGACGGCGGGCTGCTCACGCTGCGCGCGCACCGCGACGCCACGGCGCTCGTGCGTGCGTACCGCGTGCTCTGCGGGTGCAGCCTCGGCGCGGAGCTCGTTGCGAGTGTCGCCGCCGCCGCGCCGCGCGATGCCGCATCCAGCGAGGACGCGAGCGACGGCGACAACGAGCTTCCCACCGCCGACGCAAACGTGCACTCGTGGGACGACAATGGCAGCGACGTCGAGGACGCATGGCTCGGCACCGAGATCCGTGCGGGCCGCTGCAAGGCGGGGAGCGTGCGCAGCGTCGAGGTGCGCGTCGAGGAACCCGACGTCGACGCCGGGGTCGATCATGCCTCCCTTGGTCGCGCACACGACGAGCCGCCGCACGCGCCGCGCACAGCGGCGTTCGCGAGCCGCGACAGCTTCGCGCCGAGCAGCCTCATGGCGACGCCCGAGGTGTGGGACGTGAGCGAGATCGACGTCGGGCAGGTCTTCCTCCGCGCGGTCTCGTACCGGCTGCCCGTGCGCGTGGGCCCCGACGACGAGATCCTCGGGAGCATCATGCACCCCGCCGTGCGTGACTGGCAGCTGGCGCCCGAGCTTGCCGCGCTGGAGAGGAGGACGGTGAAGCAGATCGTCGTCGACATCCTCGCGGACGTCTGACGGGTGGTCGCTTCCGTCTTCGCTTGTTCCTGCTGCACTTCTCTTCGGTTCTCTTCTCACCATTTTTAATTCCGAGTTCTCGCCCTTCCACCACTCGTCGTGTGTCTGCTCGCATCGCCTGACCCGCTCCCGTTTGCGGGCGCTGTTCAGGCAACCGGCGGGTAGATCAGTGGGCGACTAGTGGGCGACCAATGGGCGACCAGTGAATGTGTCAGAGGGCACACACGGCGACGCCAAAAAAATAGTTAATGTATTTGTATTATAGTCTTTTTGTGACAAAAGTAAGCTCTCCTATTTAAGCAAATAGATAGTAGATGTATACTTTTTTTGTACCTATCTCAATAGAAAATATATTTATTATTCTATATACGGATAGCTCAGTGGTATTTGTACCCCTTTTTGCTGCAAGCAGAACAGCTTTTTACAACAAGATTCACCAAAAAAAGGTTTTATTGTTTGGCTCCTATTTCCAGGTTTTACCTATCGTATGTTTTTATCAGAAAGTGTTCGATCTTTTTAGCTTCTATTCTCATAACGATTTTCGTGCCTCTTTCAGCTGAAAATATCAACTAATTAGCCCCGTGATTTATTTTCCACCGAGATAGGCACAAAATTTTCTCTTTGCATCACAAATATACGACCTTTTTGCTAAGAGATATTTCAAAAAC